ATTTATCCCTTTTTGAAGTAGAGAACAGAACTGCCAAAGTAAAGATTAAAATTAATGAATCAATTTTTGAATATTATCTAGGGAAAATTGATTCTGATGAAGTAGTGGCATGTGGGGGTGACCTTGGGAGACAGGAGGAAGAGCTGCAGACCGCACAACTGGCACGCAAAGATGTCTCGGCCTATAGAAGGGGGGATGGCATGGGAAATATTTCAGAAGGGCCCCACCCTAGTGAAAGGAAAGAAAAGGAGAAATGCATTCAGTCTCGCAAGATTCTGTTAAAGTAACCTTACAATAAAAACTAGAGTTCGGTTGTGGTTGTTTTCTGGACTACCTCACAGGGGTAGCACATGAAAGAGATAAACATTCACATTTTATTTGGAACACTTGTCTTCATTTTTTTCCACTTAGACCCTGTCAACACTTACAGGACACACAGCAAAAAAGGGATAGGGCTTCTCAGTAAAGGTGGATATTCAACACTTCAATGTTGGAGCATTGCTTGCTGAACAAGCAACCATTGCTGTTCTCGAGGATTCCATTCCGGTATAAAACTACGGATCATGAAACTGTGAATAACAAAACTTCAGTTGCCAAAAGGAAGCCCACAACCCTGCCAACTTTATTCCTGTGGCCCTTAGACCCTAAAAAAATGTGTGAATGATTATCAAAAAGACTATCTACCCTGTGGTAGACAGTTATATAAATGTAAAAAAAAAACCTTAACAATAATAATAGGAAAATGTGGCATATAAATTCCACTTATAGATTCACTTGTAGATAAGAAAGTATCTGCAGTGGAATCCATTATGAGGTACCGGTAAGTGTAAAGGTATCATTCAACATTCAAGGAAGGCCTATTTTTATACCCAGTAATAAAGTATTACACAGAGATACATACAGACACAGATACACACACAGACACACACACACACAAGGCATTCTTGTACTAAGGACATAAACTATTCATACAAGGCAAAGGACTGTTACAAAGGGTTATAAACTCAGTATATACCTTTTAATCAATTTCCCCACAAGAATCTCTATATAAATATATCTATTTTCTATACATGTCCACTGAGAAATAAAATTTATTGACATTCATTGGATTGACTTTTAGTAAGTACTCAGAGAATTGCAACCATATGGTTAGCTATTCAGCTTTGGAAAACATATGATGCCTTTATATTATCCATCAGCTATCCATCAGTAAAGTGATATGTTTGCCCAATGACAAATTCCATAGATAGTGGGGTTGGGTGGGGGGTGTTGGGGATTATATGTAATGTGAAATTATGTATTGAGCTAAAGGAGTGGAAAAAGACAAAATGAGCAGGTGTGTATATTTATTTTATGAATAATAATGGCTAGCAATAAAAAAAAATCACAGAGAATTTCATTTGCTATTTCTGACAAGTGAGAGAATTGATATAGATTTAGAAATTGAAAAGGTATTTCAGAATTTATTACTGTAACAACTCATGAGCAGACTCATACATCAGTTACAATTGCTGTGAAGATACCTATGTTGATTTCTTTAGAAATATTTGACCATATAATTAACAATTCCAGAAAGAATTTCAGTATACGTACCTACATGAAAAACAAAGGATTTCACAGCTTTCAGAACACTGAGACAAACCTCACTACAAAATTATAGATAAGCATATTAGCAAACTAGTCACTGGATCCTGCCCATCATCTTGCTGCTTCCTCACTAATCCCATTGTCATCTCTTCATTTTTGCATCTTCTCTTTCACCAAAGTGGAATCGGTAATCTAGCATCTAGTAGGTGCTTTGAGTTTTAACACCTATCAAGTTTATCTAGCATAGTCAATGTGAAGGAACTACGGGAGTTGCAGCTCAGTAACTTTCTACCTTTGCTATATTTTATGGCTCAGCTCCCTTCCGCCACTCATCCCACTTCAATGGGATTCTCACAGTATGAACATTTTCATTCTCTGCCAGTTGCATCTGAATGAAAGTTGTTTCAAATGGTAGCCCCCTTGACTTTTTTCCTCACAGATAATTGCAATTACACCTTGATATGTCACCCACATTTATAAGGTAAAATACAACATAGTGGGCTGCAGTTGTGAAATTTTAGTGTAAAAGTAAAAAGCCAGTCTTTCCTTGGCATCAAATCCCAAACAATGTTATAGTTATAGGGAAACAGTATTTCAAAGCTGTAGAGAGGAAGATAACCTTGATAGAAATAGATGAAGCTCATTACCAAGATGACAAGGGAGAAACCATATATTAAGCCCACAAAATAGCTTTCTCAAATGGTTCAAAAGTCCCCTCATTAATTCACGAGAGTATAAGAAAGGGAAGGAGATACAGTCGTTCCCGATTCTAGGGGGCGGTGCTCATTTCCGTTTCAAACCGAAGAGCCAGCACTGTCCGAAGACGTCTCCATCATGTGGCTGGCATGACTAAACGCCAAAGGCACTTAGTTACATTCCCACCAAAGTGGTCCCTATTTTTCTGAGGTATACCAGAAATCGGCTGCGTAAACAAGTGGAGCTCCATCCATGGGATGCAGGCAGCACATCTCTGGTTCACAGAAAAACATCTTTCCATGGGGGCCACTGCTATATGGTATCTAAAAGTTATTCAGGCACACAACAGTCACAGCATTTACACTGCAGTATCCAGGTTATTTTCAGAGAGAAACCCATGCAACCACATAGTTTAACCACAAACTAGTCAGATTTTTAGCATTAGGACTAAGATAAAGACTAAGCTAGCATAAATTTAGTTCTACCAAATGAGTTGGTTATTTCATTTAATTCAAGCAGAACAAATTATAATTAATTTTAGGGTTAGCTGAACGCTTTGTATGATTCAGAATGGTTTTGCTGAATTGTTTATGTTGCAGAATATCTCAATTGCTGAAATTTTGTGACTTACACTACGCTTATCTGAAAAGGAGAACTACACAAAGACATTTCTCTAAACAAAAAAAATAAAACCAGCCCTGTCCTACCATATCTATTAATTACTGCTTTAAAGTTAACATTCATGAAATAAAATTTCATTTTGAAAAATACCAGGTTACCTTTCTTTAAATTTGTAACCATTTCCTTTATTATATGAACAGAAAAAACAGTATAGAAAGTATATAAACAATTATAGTCAAATGAAAATGGAGGTATGATGATGGTAACATGTATAAATATCTGAGTTAAAATACTTGAGTTAATATGAATTATGTTTATTGGCTGTGGAAGAGATGCATGAAAGTCTTTTTGTAACCAACTGATACACTTTCTACAGTATGTAAAGAAGGATGTGTTGTGTTTGTTNGCCCCAGGAGTGGGGAGGGAATGGAGATTTTGCAGTATCCTTCCCCTGCCACACCCACCAAGCCATGCCCACAAAATCACACCCATCATATCATGCCACGCCCACCAAGCCACACCCACAGAACTGGTAGTAAAAAAAAATTGAATTTCATCACTGTTCTGTTCCTGTATCTTTTATCAATTTCCTACAATTGGGTGTTGGATTTGGTAATCATTTACTTTGCTGATCAGTACTGATGATGTTACTTAGTCTGGGCAATAAAACATCTTTAAGAAAACAAACCAAGCTCAGAGAACACCAAGGACCCCTCATTTCAACCCTGAGCTACAAATATTCTCCTTTTTGGGCTCAGTAGATACAGGTAACCTTTATGGCTACAATTGAGCCTAAAATTTCATTGTTAAGCAGTATAGTTGCTAAGTAAGTTATGCTCCCTTTTGCGATCTCTCTTGTCACAGTTGTTAAATTAGTAACACATCAGCCAGTCATCTGGCTTCCCTATTGACTCTACTCGTCAAGATGATTGCAGAAGGTGATCACATGACCTTGGGACATTGCAACCATCATAGTACATATAAATATCTGAAATTTGATCACGGAACCACAGGAAGGCTGCCATGGTCATAAGTGCGAAAAATGGTTATATATTACTTTTTCCAGTGCTGTTGTAACTTCGAATGATCACTAAATGAATGGTTTTTAAGTTGAGGACTACCTGTACTCTGCAGGAGTGCCACACATTCTCAACATTTCAAATTGCCCACCAGCCTCAGACCTTGGATCCTCCCCAGTTAAGCCACAATTCATTTTAGATAAAATGGAACATTAATCCCCCCCCCACCCCAGTCCTATGTTGTTCCTTCTGGCTTTCAGCAGATTATCTCAAGCAGAAAAACCTTTCTCTCAGAATATTAATCTTTAATTTATTTTTTAATACCAACCCGGGGATTGAACCTGGGCATAAAAAGCCTCCGTTCTGTTATTAAGCTTGATGGGGTTGCTAATATCAATCTCCATGATTGTCATCTGGGGATTTGCGGCAAAACTAATTGAAAAGGTTAGGTCTAAACAGGAAAAAGGGATTATAAAATAAGGGATTCGGCTGGAAAACAAAAAAAGATCATATAGTAGGGTAATTCTGTTTGCAACTTCAAGCCCCATCAGTTGTTTTTTTTTTAATCATGTTTCAGGAACAAAACAAGAGATTTTATTTTTGCCATTTAATTTGGAATGATATAACACTGTACTGTGTAAACAAAGTCNAAACTCAAGTACTTTGGCCACCTAATGAGAAGGAAGGACTCACTGGAGGAGAGCCTAATGCTGGGAAAGACTGAGGGCAAAAGAAGAAGGGGACGACAGAGAATGAGATGGCTGGATGGATACACTGAAGTAGTCGGCGTGAACTTAAATGGACTCCGGGGATGGTAGAGGATAGGAAGGCCTGGAGGAACGTTGTCCATGGGGTCGTGATGGGTCAGATATGCAACAAACAACTACAACAAATCATCTTGGATACTCAGTTGAATAGCAAGGAGAGATCTATATTGATGAATGAATGAAGTATCAATACTGAAAGTAGTTTGCAGACTGGGGAGAACAGCCTGCCATTAGCCTCTGTATACTACCCAGATATATCCCATAGGTACACCTTGATTGAATTTACAATATAATTTGGTGGCATACTTACAGTCACAGTAAGATTTGCCCAAGGTATCTCATATGAGGACATGTTCTTTGACTGCCAATATTGTAAGGTAGTATTGCTTGGGTCATCTGGTTCCACACAGCTGCATCTGAAAAACAAATCAATGGTTGATGTTCTCTCAATTAGAAATGAATAATTTAGTTCACCATCCTTTCCTCTTGGGCAATCACATATAAATTGAAGTGGGTTAAACAGCCCTGAATGATACCAGACATAATTTTCCAGTCCCAGCAATGCAGCAATGGAATTGAATTGCTCCTGTATGACAATATATACAGTCGTGTCTCTCTCTTCTCTTAAATGTTACAGTATACAGGGTGCTTGTTTTCATAGTATATTCCAAAAGTGGCCTGGTGATTCATTTGTAAAAGCCCTCTATAAGATGCAATCTCTGACTCAGTTCATTGTTTTTATTACTTATCTTTTATTTATTCTTATTATTATCTTTCTTACTGACCCCCTCTTATAGGCATTATGATGAGGGTGATGATCATTATTCTGTTGCACTGCAGGTACACTGAGAGCTTCTGCATCGGAGACAGATTTCTTGTGTGGCCAAATAAAGTATTCAATTCAATTTTCAGTCATTGCTCCATTTTGAAAAAGATGATGACTCTTCAAAACTTCTGTTTCTACTAGGCTCTCAGAAGAACAAAAATTTTATTCTGTTCAGACATACACTTCACTACAATGTAAATTGAGGATGACTGCAGCATTGAAAAAATTCTCCGATAAGCAGGAGACAATATATAACTCTGTTGCGAATCATTTTTGTAATTCTATGGTCCACATTCGGACATTTTAAAAAGTGTACAAATACACAGCCTTTCTTCATTCTCTAACAGTTCTCTGCATTGCTATTATGTTGGAATTCCTAACTTCGTATCCCTTGAAATCCTTTATATCATTACAATAATTACATTACTATCACTCAGTTTGAATTATTCTCAAGAAAAGGGTGCAAACAAATAATAGCTGAAACACATTCTGTTCCAGGGGTGAAATCCAGCAGGTTCTGACAGGTTCTGGAGAACCGATAGTGGAAATTTTCAGTAGTTCGGAGAACCGGCAAATGCCACCTCTGGCTNTTAAGCTTGCAATTTTAGTTTTAAAACTGCGTGTTATACGCCGATAAATACGGTATATACCAGTTCATGGTGCTTTACAGCCCTCTCTAAGCGGTTTACAAAGTCAGCATAATGCCCCCAACAATCTGGGTCCTCATTTTACCAACCTCGGAAGGATGGAAGGCTGAGTCAACCTTGAGCCGGTCAGGATTGAAGGAATTGAATTTCTGTCAATCTGAGCAGAATTAGCCTGCAATCCTGCATTTTAAGTTAACCACTGTGCCACCATGGCTCAAGTATGCTGCTATCTTGTTTTTTCCCTTGTCTGTCTGATCTGCAATATGAAATTAACCACTCTTATTGCTATTTTGTAGATGGAAGCTCAAAGACACTCTGGAATTTTTAAGATGGTACTTAAAAATAGTTCCCATCATCCCTGATCGTTCAAGCTATGGGCAAGGCTCATGACTCTACTCCAGAGCTAACATCAATCAATAGTGGACTTTTAGAAATGAGATTAAACATATCAAAAACTTAGCACAACTTTTTTGAGTCTTTCTAAGAGGCTCATTCAATTGAAGGCAGAAATGGTGAAACTCAAAAAGGAGGAACACAGAGCACTTACTTGCAAAATTTGAATAATATCTTTTCAAACACCAAAACTGGTCCTGTGCTACCCAATATGGTAAGAGGCTGCCCACCAAACAGTGAGTAAGCTATTCCGGTCATCGATGCACCAAACAGAGATTCTATTGCACTCTGTGTATTTTAAAAAAAAAAAAGCAGAATTGAAAAGTTAGAGCTGTGACTTGGGAATCGATTCTTAGAAAATGCCACCCAGAACGTTTTATTTATTGGGATCGGGACAAATAGATACAGTAAGGCTGAAAATCCAATTGCAACACATACTATACGACCGTCTGTTGCTTCTCCCAGCAAACCGCCAAAGGTGATAACAGGAGACATACAAGCACAATAGAGAAATAGAAAAGATGCTAGACACTGCAAGCTGAATGCATCGGTGAAGTCACTCAACAAGAATGGCACTTTCCTCTTGATATCTAAAACCAAGCCCCCAAAGAGCCTAAAGAGAGTGAAAAAGAATGAATATTACTAAAATGTGATTTTTTTTAAAGCAGAAACTGATAGTTACACTAACATTTAATGTGCTATTTGCATTCATTTTTAAAATGAGGTATGAAATAGTCAAGAAGTCTCCAGATCACCACCTTCCCGTTTCTAGCCTTATGCTTTAACCACTACATCAAACTGGTTCCTAACATCAGTATTAGGTGTTAAGAGTATTAGTATTAGGTATTGAAATACCCTTGATAGCAACAGGTTACTGCCACTGAGATATGAGAGAAAGCAGAACTGGAGCCACTTTATTTTGGCAGAAATCCTGACAAGAGAATTTCCTGTTCGTATACAAACACAGCCAGATGGCATGAAGAGCTCTTCAAAGTTGCTGCTAGGCCAACAAGAGAATATAGTGCAATGATGCTACAAGTAGGAAGCTCAGTAGCTTTGCTTGAGAGAAAGCCAAAATGATCCCCTAACCAGGTTTTCAGCATTAGCTGAGATGAACAATTTCCTATGAACTCCAAACCATTGGAATTACTGTTATAACAATAGTATATGATGTCTCAACTATCCCTATTCCTGTGTATATTTCCCATCGGTAGTAAGCATCCACAGGATGACAGCTATGGTTTGAATTTTTCTTAACTCCTTAAAAAATGTATGCACATACTGAATTTTAGTATTTTAGCAATTGAACAATTATACCAACTTTCTAAAGGGAATAGGTCAGTATTTTTTAATTTTTTATACTGTTTTTTTCCTTAACAATATAAGGCAGCTACAGTATAATTTACCTAACAATATTTGAAACCATGGAAGTAAAATTATACATTTAATACAGAAATGAACCTTCCTTCCTTCATTAAATGGAATGGGGCTCTCGACACAAAACAGCTGCACCTGCACTTTACTAAGAAATATGTAACTGGAATTTGCCACTTAAAGCATAGAGACTGTCATGACTCCATTTATTGCAGGGCTAGTTTTAATATGTGCAATGATATGCATAGCAATTTAGTAACTGTTTGCAAGGCATAAATATATATGCAGGCTAACCCAACCCATTTTAATAGGGGAAGTATATTTACATAAGTATTGATTTTAAATAAATAGGACAGCCTATTCATTTTAACCATCATTTATATGTGTCTATCATAGCACCTATTGACTTTCAGGTGAGTGCTAGATCATATTTTTTTTAAAAGAGCCTTACATGTCTTTGTGTGTGTGTATATGGATGGATATTTACATATGTATGGAATCAAATGAAAATACTATCTTACTACTAACTTTCCAGTACGTTGTAATTCTGGTCCGGAATGTCCTCCAAGTGGCTCTGGGTCTCCATGAGCAGCAGTTCCATTTGGTACACCTGGAATTTTACGTTTCTCCTAAATGAAAAAAAAAATGGATGTGTCTGTTTTGAATCTGTTTTCCATTCCAAATTGTGGACTGAAAAGGTAAGTCAAGGTAAGTTAGAAATATCTAGCTTCCTTTGGTAGGCACCTTTCACAAATTGAGAGTCACCAAAGTAGCTTATTTAACAGGACTTCTAGCATCTGGAGATGCCAAGCACAACCTGACTGGAAAAGTGCTAAATAAGAGCCTCCTTATCAGTTAATAACATCCTGTGAGGCTTCAGCACTAGAGAGTAAAAACTAAAAAAAAGAAAAAAGGACTATATTCAGCCATCTTTCTCCTGTGGGTTTGTGGGATACCATGTCCACCAAACCTTTTCCATTGCTGAGACTTTCAAGTACAGTGGAATATAAGTCAAGGCAGAGAAAGAGCATATTCCTGCTAATTTACTATTACAATACAAGAACATGTTACTGCCATATGTGAGCTACTGTTATACCTCTTTCTAAAATCTCTTTTATTCTATATCCACAATTTATTTATAATAGAAATAGAGTAGAGTAGAGTAGAACAGAACAGAACAGAATCTTTATTGATTTATTGATTGATTGATTGATTGATTGATTGAAGCAGTGTTAATAGTAACATGTCTATGAAAAACATGGGGGGAAACTCTTTGAGATGTCAATGAACTATAGGAGAGGTAAATATTGTAGAGCATTGATGATATCTTATGTAATTTTATCACAACTGGGGGAAATGGGGAATATAAATGTAAAAAATAAATAAATAAAAATAAATACCTGAGAAGGAACATTTTTGGGAGGTTCTATACGAATTGTTGGGTCCCATTCTCCTGGAGGGAGAACTGTCACTTGATCAAGAAACTCATCAATTCCAGCAACCAAGTCACTGCGATCCTTAGCTTTATATGCAACATCATGAAATACCTATGGAAGAAAGAAGGAATTCCATGAGATTTTATTTCTAAGGGGTGGGGGGGGAGAGAATCCAAACACTGTTGTTTCTCAACAAATCATAAAAAGTATTTTCCTGCTCATTTTCAGTATTATTCACTGTGATTCAAAATATTGATTTTTTTAAATCTTTCTATTTAAATGGGTCTGAAGGTTGAACTAAGAAACTTCTAGTTATTAAACTAAAGCATTTTGTAAGGACATCGTGCTTCACACAAAGCACTTTAAAATATGTAGGTAACTTGGCAATGGGTTTAATCAACACCTGTGACTGGATAAGTACCTCATCTGTCATTAATGTTCCAATTGACCTGCCAATCTCATGGTACTGTTGACCTTTTCCTAAGGGTCCCAGAAGAATAAACAAAAATCTATGAATAATAAAACACAAAAATTTCAGTTAATTTTACATAATTCTATTATATGAACAAATACAAGTTAGAAGAAACTTAGTCTCTGTTTTAACTGTTCTTGAATTTCTATTTTGCAAGTTGGAAAAAAATTCTTTTAAACATTGATATACCATTTTTTTAAAAACAAACAAACAAGAATATGTTATTTTTAAAGAAAATTATAAACACTTTCCCTGGTGATGACATAATTGGAATTATTTCGTCCTCGCCTAGTTTGGGGCTCATGTATTTTTTAAAAATTAAACAGAAGTATACACATAAAAATGGTTTCCTAATGTATTATTAAGCTGTAAGTGTACATAAATATTACAAAACATAATATTACACAAAACAAAATGAGAATCATTTCTGTTTGAGCAGGTATCTTATCATTTTTTAGAACAGTTAATGCTTGTTATGTTCTGTTTAGACTCATGAACTTCCTCCCAGCTTTCTATAAGCAGATTTCCTATTTATCATGAATACAAAACCAGTTTTTCTATCAAATTTAAATGGAAATTTTCATTCAAACTCTCATAGAATTTTCACATATGGATTTAAATTTTTAAAATTGTAAAAGGAAAAAGAGAAAGAGGATAGCTTGTGAAATTTAGACCTTCTTCTGACTTTATTGCAGGGCATTAAAAAACTGCAATTTTATATAAAGTTTGAGATAGCTTAACTTTCAAAGTAAAATTGTGCACACATCATACAGTACTCGATGATGGTTGTCAATTCCTTCTTATCTCATGGATGGATGGAACACAAAAATCAAGATTTTTGTTAAACTAGTCATTGATGATATTGTCCAATTTGGGTAGTGAGGTGGTCTTCACAAATGCTGCTCTGTAGCAATATATAATCCTTAATATTATTTAGAGCATTCTTCCTTATTCCCTGGCTGGCCCTTATTCCTTTTATCTGTGAGCTGCAGGATTTAAACCAAGCTGGAATAATTAAATTTCTTTCTTAGCAATGGTTATAAATTACCTTGATGGGATTGGAACTTCTGTCAATCCTGAGAGCAACATAGCAGGCGACAATCTAACAAAAGCGACTACAGCACGGTCCAAGAATTCAAGCTCACCAACCAAAATGTTTGAGGCTTCAGCTCCAGGAGGGATTTTTTTCATGAAATGCATGTCAACCTGATCATTAAAAAAAGGTATACAAGAAAAAGAAGGATGGGAGGTAGACTGAGAGAACTGACAGATGTGAAGATTTCTAGCATTTCATTTCACTGAGACATTGATACATCATGGATCATTAACCACAGGATAAGTTAGCATAAACATGTATTAGTGCAGGTACAAATTCTGAAAAATTAATTGAAGTTATCAATGAATAAAAACTTTAACTGTGGGTTTATAAGACTTGGCAGTTAATTGAACAATTAATGCTCATATTTGATTTCCAGATATAATCTACTAACTGCAAATGGTATCTTAGTCATATTGATACCTTATAAAAGGCTAATATTTCTGGTATTGTGCAAAGTCTATTTAGGGTTACTGATTCTAGAACTCTTGAAAAGGCAGCTTAAGAATTTCGATCCAAATAATCTTCAATTAATGAGTGAATGGATTTGTTCAACATGATTCATTCCAATAGGGTCAAGAGCTGACCATTTTTTTAAAAAAATTGGAATCATTCATGCTTACTGACAAAAGTAGTAGTCATTTTTACTTCCATTTAAAATTTTAAATAAATTTATGAATGAAAATGAGATTGTGGTTTTGCTTCAAAAATCGACAATGGTTTTATTATTGCTAACGAAAAACAGCACATTTTATATGAAAGGTGTTTTAATGTGGCAGTTCTGCCATGACCCAGAATGAGCCAGGTGGCTCACACTGGAACCTCATGAGTCATTTCCATGGGAATCAAGAAAAATACACTCAGTGTCCCCATCTACTGCTCACACAACCACATTTATTGTTCCATAGACTGTGCCTATGCCTCAACAGCAATTCCTGCCCACTGTAAAATGCAACACAACTGGCAGCTGCTGCTATACATAAAGCATCCAATGAAGTTTTCCTTAAGGAATTAGAATAGTGTTTCCCAATCTAGACAACTTCCATGGATTTCCACTCTACAGAATTTTTAGCAATGACATGTGGCTGGGGAATTCTGGGAGTTCAAGTCCACACTTTAGGGAGTTGTCAAGGTTGGGAAACACTCCTGTTAGGAGCCAATGGCTCAACACAGTCTTTGCTCAGGTGCTCCATTGTCACAAAACCAACAATACTGTTAAAAGTTCAACACATCATACTTGCATTAAACTTCACTACTTCAAATTGTGTACAGCTGTTATTGTAACACAATGTTCTTCATTATGTTACCTACAAAGCCTCATTGTAAGGAAAAATCTTTCCTCAATAGGATGCATAGATTCCACAGGAGGCCTCCACTGCTTTATTGAGACACAGTTACACTGTTAGTGTTAAGCATAATGGATCTCTCATTAGATTATATCGGCCAAGGTACTTGCAAAGATAGTAAGCAACCAGTTGAAAGACTTCTAATCTTTCTCTCTCCAGAAGCCATTATTTTTGGAATCAAGGTTGCATTAGCTTTCTGAGAAAACAAGGATTTGTAAACAAAAGGAAAGAAAGAGCAGCATTATAGTAGAACAGTTACCTACTAATTGCACTGAATTTCTTGTTGCCCCAAAATCCAGTGAGAGAAAGCATAGGAGCGTTATTTAACGAAAGAACAGCAACCAGAAAAGCGATTTCATAGCTATGTGGGCTGGAGTTGAAAAGGGTCGTGTTAGCTTTTTGAGAAAGTAAGGAGGAATACTATACACGCAAAGAGAGTGCAGCCTTACAGTAAAGCAATTTGTGATTAACTGCATTCAAATTCCTGCTGTGCCAAAAATTCACTAAATAATACCACTGAGAAAAATAAAAAGAAAGGTGCAGCTAATGCTGGGAGTGTCAAATACATGTATTGTGCTTAGGCAAATACAAAAATAAGGAATCAACAGGATTATAGCAAAAGCTCTCCCTCTCTCTTCCCGGGCCTTCCTTTATGTGGGCATAGTTATGATACGGCCTGGATACTAACTTGATACAGTGGTTTTATTATAGTCCACAATCATGAAAATAACATTCTACAACCACAAGTTCTTTTTCTTTCCAATACTAATTTAATATGCTTAAACTAGAATTTCTCTCAAATTATTAGAAATTATTGTAACATATATGCAACTATACTATAATTATATAATTAATTATAATAATTATACTAGAACACAAGGCCCAAATGACTGAGGATATTGCAGGTAGCCTTGAGAAACCAAATAAAAACATTAAATGGGCTAAATCTCAGAAAATTTGCCAAATCTTACAAGATTTTACTATTCTTTTCCACAAATCACACACGATTTCAGGGTGAAACGCCATCTGTTATCACACACAATCTTTCCAACAAGCTTTTAGGGTGATCTTTGAAACTGACAATGCAAAGATCCACATGAAGAAATGGTTCTGAGTTGCTACTCTTATTCGTCAAATTATTGAAAAGCATTTTTCTCTCTCTTTGATTTGTGTCATTTACTTTATGTTAACAGTTAACTGTCTGATGTTCACAAACATATTTTATTTGTGTTCTCCCCATAATACCTTTCTAAATGTTATGAAGAGTAATTCACAAAACAACATGTTCAAATTGATATCACAGCTTCATATTCTGAGAATTTCAAATTACTGCGTTTCTCTCCCATTTGCTTTCCCATTACCAATCTAAACACAAAAACAGTGACCAAATCCAATATAAACTGTTAAAGTGACCATTTTAATGTCTATCTCGCAGCCATCTGTCAGTAGCAGTGTGCAGTGTGTCTTCAATAGTGTTTACAAAGTTGTTTTCTTGCAAATGGCTCTGGCACATGGACAGAATTTAAGCGCCATGGCGTTGTCTGTGTTATGAAATCATTTTCAAAACTTTTAACATCTCCAAAAATTAAGCCCAGAGTTCTTTTTTTTTGTTGCTTTGCCATCTTATTTACATATTTCTTGTGAAATAATAATTTAAATCTACATATTTATCTGGTACCGAGGAATTATCATTGATTGCTTGAAATGGAATAGTTCTTTTAAGGGAGGACTGCTTCACAGATGGGGGAAAGAATATGCACATGCTTGGAAGGATTTGAATTACTTTTGATGGCAGGATTGTAATTGAGCCCCCATACAAAGCAGCAAAGATGAAGCTAAACCAAGACCTATTAGTAGGTGGCTTTTGTGCACCGATAAACTGTCCTTCCTCTCATCTCCAATCTCATTTCCACTGATCATCAACATGGCTTACGACACCTGCTCAAGTCAAATAAACCCAAAGGGCTGGGAGTTTACAAAGCAAGTATTCTGCACAACTCCAACTCAGTTAATCAATTGTTGCCATCAAATAGATTGTCCAATAAAACAGTAGAGGTCATCTAATGCATTCTGTGATGCCTCCTGGCAGTTTTTGATATATATAAAAAAATCAATTAATTTATAACACGTTGTTCACCACATCTAGAAATAATTGGCCAGCAAAAGACATCAATCTTGACAACCCATGAATTGGAGTTATGATCATGTAGTTCTGCAGATCAGGCTAGAGCTTCATAATGACTTGAGAGAAACCTTGGGTCCATTAATTCTCAGGCTTAGGGTGGCTTTTCAAGCATGAAAAGGCACATAATGCAAATAATGCTTCTTATCTTCCATTAGTTCAGCTTTGGCTGCTGCGAAAATTTCTCTGCCAATTGAAAGGGATAATGTGACACAAGACACTGTTTTATAGAGATTTGCATTGGTGTTTTTTTCTGAATTCCAGAAGACTCTACTTGTGATTCATTCATTAGTATGTTTACTTGCTTGTTGTTGGCAGCAATCTGTTTGTCTTTGATTCCTTCCTGGCCTCCAAAGATGTTGAGGCAACTCTAAGCATTGCTTCTTCTCTCTCCTAATCTTTTCTTCATAAAAAGCAGATTAAGTCAATTAGATTGAGAAAAAGAAACACTGACCCTGGTCACTTATAGGTGGGATTAAGCCCAGCCATTTCTCTCTGGTTCGAGGGAACCAGTAGCAATTGCTGCAGGAGGCTCCACCCATCTGCTCCAGATGGGTGGAGCTAAGCAAGCAAGCTAAGCAAGCAAGCGCGCAATCGCGCTCACATTTGCAAACCAGTAGGAAAAGTTAATCCCACCTCTGGTTAAGTCCCAACAAGATATATTGTGTTTTATTTAGCACTCTATGTATATTAGGCCACTGTGGTTTTCCAACAAAATGCCATGTGGAGACCTTGGTGCTCTTTGAATTTAGTCTTCCCTGAACAACCAAACTTAGGGAGCACCAAGGATTCCATATTTTAACCCTGAACTATATATGTTCCCTTCTATTAAAAATACCATCTCTCAGCCAGGGCTTGACAAATTTTTGGGGTCTTGAGCACCACTGTATAACATTATACAAGGCTGTATGCACTTTTTAAAAAAAAAAAAAGTATCAAGCCAAACCTTATTATATCATTAAACCTTATAAGATGTACCAAATACTTTGACCTTCCCATGTAATATCACAGAAAATAATCACTGAAATTTCTGAAATCTCACACCCTTTGTATGGGAACTCGTTCTATGGCTAGCTCAAAAAAGCAGGATTTAGAAAACCTACAGGAGCATACCCACTAACAGGCTTGAGTAAGCTGCCATACTACAAGCTGAGTGGAGATCTGAATGTGGATTTTCTTAATCTGATGCCCATATCTGATACATCACCAATCAACATAAGACAATTGTATCCAGAAAAGAAAAGAGCCATTACTGTTTCCTATTTTACAATATGAATCTATACAGTTTATGGTACAAGTTTATGCTAAAAATGTTTACTTCAATTCCTGGTGATTTAATGGACACACACATGTAGTTTCCTTGACTACAATATGGAAGATGTTCACCACCACATGTGGTATTTAGTTGGTTAGGACCGGTTCTAGCGAACCGGTAGCGGAAATTTTGAGATGTTCAGAGAACCAGCAAATACCACCTCTGGTTGGCCACACCCTCCCACCCCCGCCATTTCCTGTCCTATATTCCCTTGTTTTTTAGCTCAGCTGATTTGCATGGCAGAGAGGATTGCCGCGTCTCAGCTGAGCTAAACAACAGTTCAGCTCACTAGCGCTGACACTGAGTGCTCTGTGTGTGTGTGTGTGAAGCACAATCTCATAGAACCGGTAGGAAAAGATTTGGAATCCCACCGCTCTTCACTGCCTCCTCCTTCTGGGATGCCCATCACCATAGAGTGTTTTGGTAGACTGTCATCCAAATATCACCCAGGTTTGAATCTGCTTAGCTTCCAGGACCAGGCAAGGTTGGGGGGTGGGAGCTATAGTTTTGGGTAATACTGTTATGCTGAAGTACAGATGAACACAATGCCTCTCAGGGCATTTCCTTATTGGATCTGATTTTAGTGAGCTTATTCTAGGCTACAATCCTGTATCAACTTACCTGACAGTAACCTTTGCTGAATTCAATGGAAATTCCTATACAGAATTATACTACTTTGGTCATATTAAAGATAGTTTTGCTGGGGAAATGATTCTGTTTTTCTGGATTTGCGTGTGTATGAAATAAATTTATACCTTCCATTTCTTTAAAAAATACTTTGTATATTTGAGGACAATCTTCAGATGAAATGAAGAATAGCAGGACTATTGATGTTTAAAATGTTCAATACATGCATCTAGAGTAGCTTTCCCCATCCTGGTACCCTCCATAAAGATTGGACTACATCCTATCTTCCTCAGGAAGAAGCCTGTTCACTGCTGGGAGGAAGATGCATGGTCCAGGGAGAGCCAGACCGAGGAAGGCTGATCTAGAACTTCCGGAATTTCTGCCAACTGCACTGACAAAACACAGCATTGAACTGGTACTAACATTTAGCAAGAGATGCTGCTTGCAATCACCATAGAAAGATAGCCAGAGTGGATCCTCACCTCTCTCTCTCTCTCTTCCTGATGAAGGTGTCCTTTTTCATTTCTCTGTTTCATCCCAAATAGACTAGTGTTATGCCCTTTTTGCTGGTCTCCTAGTCCCTGCACGCACAATTAACAGACTTCAGCTGGTTCAAAAGGCTGCTTCTCATATTCTGCCTGGCACCAGATGGAGCAAGCACATAACTAGAACTGGCTCAGCCACACTGACTGGATGTCACATTTAACAACAAGTCAAGGCACTGTTGGCATCAATTTCCTTAGAAGAGAAACTCAGTTAAAGATACCCACGTTAATCCTCCCCTGCCCCACTTGGTTCAGCTGAGGCCAACTGCTGTGGCTAGAGATTTGTCGAACCAAAGCCTAATACAACCATGATTTGGTGACACAACACCCCTTTAGGCAATTTTTAACTACCGATTGGTTATATAATATTCCCAATAACTGCACATTTTGCCTTTCAGTTCTTTTGGACAGCCATGCTGCTTGTCACAATTTACAGTGAGCAATGAAGTATCACAACATAATCACAAAACCTGAGATTTTGTACATGATTAAAAATACTTTTTATATTGCCAAAGGGTAAATGTCACAGAATATATTAGAACCAATATAAATCTGAACACTAAGTCAGCAGAAGATTCTTTCCCAATTTTCTAATTTAACAGGAAGCTATCTCCACAAATACTCTGAAAATGAAACACAGAAACGATGGTTTGGTGGCTAAATATTTGGGGTATATTTTACAGGTCTAACTATGTAAGTTATGGGATAAGAATAAGTTATAGGGAGGCATCTTAATGGCTGGTCTAATTGCTCCGTTAGAAAAGCTGACTTTAGGAGTAAAAACTTGGCAGAAGTCAGAAAGGAAAAAGCACACTGAGCTTATTGCCCTGTTGTTGCCTTGCATTTTTCAATTAACACCTGGAAGAGAGAGGCTGTTTAGACAAGTTAGTTCTTCCTATTTACTCTTGCAAATTGTGACATAAAAAACCTTTTTGCTCTAACCTCAATCAAATAATTATTTCTCTCTTTTGTCATAGCAGGGGCCGAGTACCTGCTGGATACTTAATCTTCATTAATATCTAACCTTCCTTTGCTGATGCCTAACCTAAGCAACTTTGGGAGGAGAAAGAAAGATTGCAAGGCTTGGCCAATGAAAGCATCTCCTTTGTGAGTCAAAGAGACCATCCTCACCATTTGGGCTCATCTGATTGGGGCAGATCCCCCTGTGCTGTGAGTATATTCAGGGACAATTTAATAAACTTTCTTCAAAGTTTGTCGTCATGCTGGCATCTCCCTTGATGTTATAGTTCTTTGGCTCTATCCTGCAAATCCTAAATTAAACATTGACCCACAAATTAGTGGCAACATTTCTTTTCTAGCAAGTTAATTTATGGTTCTCTTTCCTTAACTTATAAATAAGCTTATAAATTGCTTATAAATACTGATAAATAGCTCTTCTGTATTTGAAGCAGAATCTTTTCCAGCTTTCCTTAGAAATGGCTAAATTGAATCAAATCCTCATGTATGCAATGTAGGGGCTTTATATTATGGATTGATAGTTTATTAATAGCCATCAGTTTTCAATGAAGAAAATATTCAGGAAGTTCAATGGGTTAAGATTTACCGTAGAAAGGAGTGTCCAACCTTGGCAACTTTAAGGCTTGTGAACTTTAATTCCCCAGCCAGCATGGGTGGCTAAGGAATTCTAGGAGTTGAAGTCCACAGGTCTTAAAGTTACCAAGGTTGGACACCTCCGCTGTAGAGCTTTTATCAAGGGACTTCCAGGATTTTGCTGCCAAACAGAAATTAACTGGCTCCTTCACACAGAAATCACACAGAGCAATTTTTATACCTTAATATTGTAGTGACAATATGGAAAGAATGAGTGAGTCAATCAGAATTCCACTGCCTTAAGTCTTAAATATATTGTTCCCACGTTTCATTTTCAGAGATGGGAAATGCTTGAGAATGCTACCACATCATTTCAAAGATCTTTTGGTTCAGATACTGAAACATAGCTTTTCATCTCTTCTAAAGTTTAATGATGTCTTCACAGTGATATGGAATGAAATGAACCATTTTTTTAAAAAAAAAGGATCTTTTGTTTTAAATGGTTAAATGTATCCCACTCCATTTATTTACATAAAATGCATGTAGTATGAGACAACGGCCAGTTATAATTTATTACACTAAAATGAAACATGCTTTACTGCCAGAACTAAGCTGTACTCTTACCATTCCAAGATTCAGGTTACAATCTTACCTTACTAAAGTCAACAGTGCTGTTTTCTCGGCTGACATCATTTTTGATTTCAATGGTTGGCGCAGACTGTGGGGAAACAATCTGACCTGCTGGAAAAAATTGTTATTACAGAATACTAACACTTTTCTGTATTGTTGTTATAAAACAGTCAATCGAGATAAAAAGTAAATTCTCCCTTGAGTTAGCTTGAGTCCAGTGAACCTCAGAGAAGGGGTTGGTAACAATAGATAAATAATGATTTAAAAATATCAGTCTATAGTGCTGGATTTCCCAATCTAGTCTCACATTCAAATAATAATCAGGGCAAATGCTACTTAGCCTTTTTCAAATTGGTTGAAGATTTGCTAGGTACTACCACCTGAAAGGGCCTTCTGCTGAAGAGACTTTTAAATAAAAGATTCATATACGTCGTATCTATATACAAAACATTTTATGTTGCAAAGTACAGGCTATTACTACATATATAAGTAATACATTTTCTTGATCATAACTTACTGAAAATAAATAGGGCCAACTGAATAAAAAGTTTTAGTTTATTTGCGATACGCAGCACTTTATAAAAGTTTGCTAAAGCCATTACTTTATTGATTTACTAAAGCTCACGACTCAACTTGTATTTAAATAGTGAATGTGAAATTGGTTGTTTAATGCCTCCTGGAAGAAAACAAGCAGAGGAAGGAGTATTAGATAGGCATTGCTGCCTTGAGTTCTTTATAAAAATAATAAAGGCGGGATTAAAATAATAATAAAAGAAAAAATAAAATAAATAAAATAAAATAATTATTGAAATAGTCACCCCTCTTGGGTGATGATGTCATGGAACATTGAATATAAAAAGCATGACATAAGGCACAGGTCTTCAAACTTGGCAACTTTAAGACTTGTGGACTTCAACTCCCAGAATTCTCCAGCCAGCATAGCGACTGGAGAATTCTGGGAGTTGAAGTCCACAAGTCTTAAAGTTGCCAAGTTTGAAGACCTGTGACATAAGGTAACGACTTTATCTCTCTATTCTGAGAGTTCTAATAAGGAAAGCTATTCCTTCCAAGCTTATCCATATATCCCANTCCATTTATCTTCTCAGGGAAAGTCAGCCATTCTCCAAGTATACAAATTCACCTTCTTATAATTATTCATGGGCTGTCAAAACTCTGTTCACTTTGGAAAGAGTAGAAGTAATCTCCTTTTCCTGAAGTTTAATTTATTCTTTATTATTACAAAACTCTTCAGTATGAAGTTTGAAATCTCCCTTTCCTTGTAAAGTAGCTGGATTTTCATCTGGGAAAAGATATGTAGTTTCTTCCCCTCTGTTTTATTTTTGCTAGCTAATGAGCTTTTTATAAATTTTATCTCTGACCCAAGATTAAGATATTTTATAATAACATCTTGTGGGTTTTGCATTCTTGTGAGCCTAGGTCTGTAAATTCCAGACCTTCCAAGGGCACACTTCACATCTTTCTCAGTAAGTTACATTTCTGGCACATTAATTTTTGGAATAAGGTATTCTAATAAGTCTTATCTGCATTCTCCCAAATCCCTCTAATCCTTAAACTGTTTCTTCTGTTTCTATGCTAAATATCAGCCAAGTCAAAGTTTCATGTTCATCAAAACTTTTTAAAATTATGCTAATATTCTAATTTTTATAGCGGTGTACTGAGCCTTGCTAGCTATCTGATCAGTCTCTGAAATCTGATTAGTCATATCTTTGAATTGCTTTTTATATGATTAGACATACTATTAAAGTCTTTACAAAGTGCAATTGTTCATTTATCCCATTCTAATTTCAATTGAATTGTTGATTGGTTGGTTTGTTGGCTTGTTTGTTTGTTTGTTTATCCTATTTCTAAATTGCCCATCTCCCTCAAAGAGGGAGTCGGGGTGGTATATAATAAAACATCGAAATATAAAACAGCACATAAAACATTAAAAGGGTAAAGTTAAAATGTTGGTTTAAAAAATCAACTCCTTCTGGAAAGTAAGGTGGGATATAAATGTATTAATATTAAATTGTTTGAACAGTCAAGGAAATTAAAGCAAAAAAAGATCAGTAACATTTTTCTTTTAAGAATTGAAGCCTGCATACATTTCAGCAGGGATTCCCCTAAGAATATTCTGGGCAGTTAAAGGATATTCAGTGGGGATACTTGAGCAATATTAGGCAATAGCTACTTGGAAGTAATCTAGAGAGGCCAAGACCTTGATATAATCTGACTCAGTCCTGCTGGTGGAAGGTCTCTGAACTCAACAGTAGCAACTGTAGGTTTTAACAGCTGTAGATGAAGCTATAATTCAGATTTGCAGACAACAGCTTCTTTATGGCTATAAAAGCTAAGAGAGATGTCAAAACAGCCAAATTTTCAGACTTCATATGGCACCCAGCAATAAATGTTGATTCTCAAAAACTCAACTAGCTAAGAACAGCAGTTTTGTAAACTCGATATTGCTATCTAAGCTAAGGTTGCTAAATTGCAGATGTGAACAAAGTCACATACTGTGTGCACAGAAGATCTGATTCCTGAAGAATCAAAATCAGAGGTGAGTTGCTCCCTGTTCAGCCCTGATCGGGCGAACCGATAGTGGCAGCAGCGGGAGCTCCACCCACCTGCCCGCACGGTTCTGTGCATGTGCAGAAGCATCACGGCGTGCAAGCAAACCAGTAGTAAAAATAATGGAAACCCACCACTGATGAAAATCATATACTTAAAGAGCCGAGGTGGCGCAGTGGTTAAATGCAGCACT